GGGTGTTGCATTGATATCATCCGGTTTCTCTGAAAGCAGGTATGAATGTGAAAGGTACAATGCCTTCTTGCGTTGATTTTGTGATAGTAAAGAGCCAACCTGTGGGTCTGGATTCTTCAGGTAGTGAGAAGGAGGAACTGATGAGCTATACGTTTCAACTATACTTTGCAACTTTTACAGACTTTGAGTACACGTAGTCCTTCTACAGTTGAGCCCTAAATTTAGGTTGTTAAGTGAGAAATTGGTGAAGTGAATCTTACCCCATTTTACGACTCTTCTTGCCACATTTCTTAAGCGAATTGTTAAATGAGTTGTTAAATTAGTAATTCAGTTGTTAAGTGAATCAGGTTTCCCCATCGACTTGGCTTGTCAAAAGGTCGCAGAAGGTGCTCCCACTCGGACACTGCAAACGGTCATAAATGTGAATCAGCATCCAAATTTTAATCATGTGACGATGGAGATGCTGCAAGGGTCACCAGCGAAAAATGGTCATTACGTCACTTTTTTTCAATGCCGTTGTAACTTAAAACTGTCACTAACTGAATTGTAACTCGAGGACTACCTGTAGTTTGTAACTTTCAGGTTGCAATTCTCTTCTTTTTTAGGATTTAACTGTTGACTACAGTATTAATAAAACGGTAGGTGCTCTTTATGGCTGTTTAGAGCAACTTGGTGTAGTTTGGGATTCGCGAACCAACTTCAAAGAGTTCAAATATTTTCGTCGGATGAAACCTTGAAAAATCTCACAGGTAGCCCTGGACTTGATAACCATTCATTTAGTGGCCATTCAAAATGTCAACGGCGCTGAGAAAAGTTACTTAGTACTTGGCCTTAAGCTTTTGACCATCACAGCATCCCCATGAGCACATGATCAAAAATTCAGGCACTTGCCAACTGGCCTGTAATTAACAATAGTTGAAGCATCCTGCGATCATGAGATCATTGTTTATGACTTTCCTACGGGCTCCCATGAAGGAAAGTCAGTGGGGGGCATTGTATTTTAGAACAGAACAGAATAACAGAGTTGGACGGGAGCTTGTAGGTCATCTAGTCCAACTTCCCCACCTAGCAGGGAATGCCCACACCATTTCTGACAAATGGCAGTCCAGTCTCTTCTTCAAAGCTTCCAGTGATGAAGCTCCCACAACTTCTGAAGGCAACTTCTGTTCCATTGGTAAATTGTTCTCACTGTCAGAAAATTTCTCCTTATTTCTTGGTTGAATCTCTCCTTGACCATTTTTCATCCATTGTTCCTTGTCTGGCCTATAAGTAGTCCTCAACTTAAAACCATTTGTTAGTGACAGATGCCTCAAAGATACAGCGGTACTGAAAAATGTGACGTGTGATTGGACCTTGGACTTAACAATCATTGCAGCATCCCCCTGGTCACATGATCAAAATTCAACAAGCACACATTTATGATGATTGCAGCATTTTCTGGGTTCATGCAATCATCATTTATGACTTTTCCGACAAACCTCTGGCAAGCAATCAATGGGGAATCATTGGACTTGCTTAACATTCACATAGTTCACTTAAAACCTATAATGTTTCACTCAAAGACCATGGCAAAACAAAGATAAAATCTGATGTGACTCGCATAATAGATATTACGCGAGCCACGGTGGCGCAGTGGTTAGAGAGCGGTACTGCAGGCTATTTCTGCTGACTGCTGGCTGCCTGCAGTTTGACAGTTTGAATCTCACCAGGCTCAAGATTGACTCAGCCTTCCATCCTTCCTCGGTGGGTAAAATGAGGACCCAGACTCATGCTGACTCTGTAAACTGCTTAGAGAGGGCTGTAAATCACTACGAAGCGGTATATAAGTCTAAGTGCTATTGCTATTGCTTGCTAAGCAATTCTACTCCCAGTACTCAAGGAATACTCGAGGAATTCCTACTCAAGGAATAACTTTAGCTTGTCTGTAGCTTGATTAGGATATTGTTTCCTGCTTGTTAGTTCGTGGATTAGGGTGTTGTTTACTGTTTGATTCTTTGTCTGGTGTTAATCCTGGTGTTAATCCTTGCTTATCTGGGTGTTGATTGCTAGCAAAAAGATTTCTGGTCTCCATGTTTCTTTTTTAGTTCCATAAAAATTAACTTGATAATGAGTTGAACAGCTGGAGTTTGCATTTCTGGCTTGTCACTTTATTTTTATTTGTATACACGCCTGTTCTATTTTTAAAGTATGGCTCTTTATTAAATAAATTAGAGGTGCCTGACTTCATTTTAGGAGAAAGTGACTGTTATGCCAACAAATTCAAAGCTTGAAACAAGTAGCTGATAAAACTTTACCCTGTGATTATTATTATTATTATTTTTTGCTTCATATTTTTAGACCACTCCAAAAGTTTTTCTGCCCGGCCATTTTATAGAACGTTTGAAAAAATATTTGTATAAAAGCACATAACACTTCAAAACTTGTATGATCATTCCAAGCTATATATATATGGCAGTCTGTAGCATGAAAGGAAGAGATTAGCTATGTGTGGATGCCCATTGGTACAAAATGCACTTCTGAAGCTGCCTTCCTTAAATGGAATTCTGTGTTTTAGATAAACGTAAGGAAGACATTTGAGAATAAAGGTGCATATATGTGTCCTGGGATAATGTTGCAGGATCCAATCTTGGTCAGTTACCTGGGACCAGAGATTTTGTCTTCCAAGCTTTCGGACTCGTGCTGGAGCCCATCTTCAGAGAGATGTTTCTTGAAGATGGCCATCAGCACAAGTCTGAAAGCTCAGAAGACAAAACCTCTGTGATCCTGGTAATCAACCCAGATTGGATCCTGCAAGACTTATGAGTTTCAGTAAAGGACAGGGAATAAGTGGAAGAAGACAGGCTGGAGCCTGGATCCAGCCCACGGGGTGCTTAGATCTGGCCCGAGGGGCTGCCCTAGAAATGGCGAGGTACTAGCCCGTGGTGCCTTTGCCAGCAAAAACTGAGCTCGGGAGGGCCGTGAGTGCTCGAGCCACCACAAGAGCCCTGACATGAGTGACGTCGAGCTGGCCACGCCCACCCTGGCCATGCCCACCTGGCCCCCTGAGGTCAAACACAATCCTGATGTGCCCCTCAATGAAATTGAGTTTGACACCCCTGGAATAAGGCATATCCAGTGCTGGGATTCAGCCGGTTCACAACGGTTCAAGCGAACCGATTGTTAAATTACCCATCTGCCACTGTCAAAGTGGATCCTGGGTGCTGTGCTACGCTGCAATGGAAAAACGGGCAACGAAGCAGATGGTGTGAGGGAAGGAGAAGGCCGCTTTCCCTCTTTCTTCTCCCTGCTCGTCGTCCTTCCCTCCCAACAGCCACTCTGTTGCCTGTTTCTCCAGCGCAGTGCAGTGCACTTTGATAGCCAGGGTGGGGGGAGTAATTTAACAACCAGTTTGCCCAGGGCCAGGTTGGCCATCACAGGAGGCTCATCCCGCATGTATGTCGGAAGTAGAAGACGGGGATGAGCCATGCCTCCCCTGACAGCCAACCTGAATCTAGGGAAAAGGTTATTAAATTATTTGAATCCCACCACTGGGCATATCTTTAGGCAAGAGTTAATTATGCTTCATAAAAAAATGCTCTGTTTCCTAGAGTAGAAGAGGGGGGAAAAGTAGAATCGGGCAAAGCAAAAACTTTCCGCAATCTTTCCAGCTTTGCAGACCGGGGTTGGGGAATGGATCTATGTGAGTGGCAGGTGCACAGCTCCGTTTGTGTGAGCGACGGATGCTTGCATGTGCCTGTGCCCACCCCTTGTGCAAATGGAGGTGCGCACGCTCTCCTGTCGCTTGTGCGGCTCGGTTCCAAAAAGGTCGTGGCCCAGTACCCGGCCACAGCCCTGGGGGTTGGGGTCCCCTGTCATACAGTATAAACTTTTTAGAATGCAGGACTCACTACCCAATATGTGTCAGGGTTCCGACCAATGCCCTATGTTGTGGCTCCGTTGCCTGAGCCTGGGCTATCGACAGATGCAGACTCTGAGAGTGAGGAAGAGGAGTTGGCAAGGCTTCCCTCTCCAGGATCCCCCTCTCTGGCAATGCCTCTGGAGGACACCGAAGGCCAAAAGATAGGCAGCCACAGATGGACAGCGACGAAGGAGATAAGTGCTGGCTGGACCCTCGCCAGAGGCGCAGGGAGAAGCGTGCGCAGCAGAGGGGAAGGCGTGCCAGAGATTAGCTGAGTCACTGGACCACACCCCACAGGGTATAAATGTGGGTGTGGTGGCCGGTTCAGTTTGTGACGAGCAAAAACTGGAAATAATCCATGATCTCTGCGTTACTGGACTTTGCCTGCTTTATCAGACTGCATTTGGATTATTCCTTGTATTGTTGAAAACTCTGCCTGTTTTATTGGAATGCTGGCAGTCTAATCTTTGTTTTGTGTGAGTAAAGTCTGAATTGGCAGCTAGCCACTGGGTTGCTGCCAGCTTTATTTTCAAAGAATTTTGTCGTGTGGCTTATTAACTCCGGGCCATCTGTGGGGGTGCGTGAGTGGAACGGGGACAGAACACCCTAATTAAATCAGGAGCCTCGAGCCAAGCTCTCGAGTTGCCAATACTGTGTTTCCCCGAAAATAAGACATCCCCTGATAGTAAGCCCAGTTGGGCTTTTGGATGCGTGCGTTAAAATAAGTCCCCCCTGAAAATAAGCCCTCCCTGAAAATATTTAAACGCATGTGCAGCCGGTCCCCGCCATTTCCTCTGGTTAGGGTTAAGGAGACAGAGCTGGAAATCAGGTAAGACGGCAAGAGGAGCCCCGTCTTGCTCCACACGCCCCAAAATAATAAGACCTCCCCGAAAATAAGGCCAAGCACTTATTTTGCGGTTCAAAAATATATAAGACAGGGAAACACGGTATGTTTCTTGGGCTGGATCTGATGTTATGGAAGTGGAAGCCTTGGGTGGAAAATAAATTATCCTAATGAAGTCTTGGCTGTTTTAAATGGAGTTCTGTTTGCTGCGGTTTAGGAAAGCTCATTCTAAAACAAGTTTTGCATTTCCTGTTACAGAAATCGATAAGTTCCAGAAAGGAGAAGGCAAAGAAGAAGAAAAATACATCGATGTAGTGATTAATAAAAATATGAAACTGGGACAAAAAGTATTAATTCCAGTAAAGCAATTTCCTAAGGTGAGTTCAATGCATACACAAACAGATTAGCTGTTGGTTCAGGTCATTGTGTTTGATACAGTGCACTGCAACTCTACAGATTTTCAGATTTGACAGTGTAGCTTGAAAGAATCATGCAATCTTTCCACAAATATTAGGAAAGATAGATTGTTTTATTTATTTATTTTTTTAAAAAAATATAACCTGGGTATATTCACTAATTAGTTAAATCAGATAATAATTGATAATTAATACTATGTAGTAATAAAACGTTCATTACAAACCAATGCAAATGAACACTTTTTCTGATTGCACAAAACATTGTTGAAAAAGCACTGTAGTAGTAGAAGAAGGGTGAAATTCTGAATAGTTTTTTGAATCTTTGTGTTTTGTGAATCCCTCCCCTTTTTTAGATCAGTTTTTTTAATACTTTAGGCATATATGATTTGTACAACAATGAATATATCTGAATGAGTTAACTTCTCTCCCCAAAGTCCCAATGCTTGATCAATAAATAAGGTCATTCTTAAAAATCATTAAAATAGTTGAACAGTAGACAATAGAATAACAGAGTTGGAAGGGACCTTGGAGGTCTTCTAGTCCAACCCCCTGCTTAGGCAGGAAACCCTACACCACTTCAGACAAATGGTTATCCAACATCATCTTAAAAACTTCCCGTGTTGGAGCATTCACAACTTCTGGAGGCAACTTGTTCCACTGATGAATTGTTCTAACTGTCAATTAATCTAAATTTCTCCTTAGTTCTAGGTTGCTTCTCTCCTTGATTAGTTTCCACCCATTGCTTCTTGTCCTGCCTTCAGGTGCTTTGGAGAATAGCTTGACTCCTCAGGGGCAACCCCTGAGATATTGGAACACTGCTATCATGTCTACCTAGTCCTCCTTTTCACTAAACTTCCAGTTCCTGCAACCGTTCTTCATATGTTTTAGCCTCTCATCCCCTAATCATCTTTGTAGCTCTTCTCTGCACTCTTTCTACAGTCTCAACATCTTTTTTTACATCGTGGCGACCAAAACTGAATCCAGTATTCCAAGTGTGGCCTTACCAAGGCATTATAACCGTGTCATTCCAAGAGCTGTTAAGACTCTGTTTCGGTTTTTGGTATTTTCTCTTTTGTAAGACCATGCAATTTGTCTATTTAGTTTGTCTATTTGAATTATTTAGTTTTGTCATTTATTTCTTCAATTTCTTTAGCTGTCCATCTCAGTCAAGGATTCTCAATTCAAAAAAATATATATTACAATCAAAATCCAGGTGGTCTTCAATTTATAACAGTTCATTTAGTGACCGTTTGAAGTTACAACAGCACTGAGAAAAGCAACTTATGACCATTTTTCACACTTATGACCGTTGCAGCATTCCCATTGTCAGGTATTCAGATGCTTGAGTGGTTCATATCTATGACGGTTCCAGTATTCCAGGTTTATGGGATCCCCTTTGGTGATCTTCTGACAAGCAGTGTCAACGGGGAAGCCAGATTCCCTTAACAACCATGTAACTACGGTGATTCACTTAACAACCGTGGCAGGAAAAGTTGGGAAAATGGGCAAAACTCATTTAATTTAGCAAATTTCTCACTTGGCAAGATAAATTTCTGGGCTCAATTGTGGTCATATGTCAAGGATTACCTGTACTAGAAACATTTTAAAATGATAAAAACAATGGAAATGTCCAAAGTAAATGCTATTTTATTTTACTAATCAGTACTGCTCTTCTATGTACCTTGACTTCCATAAGATGTTACCTGTATTGGTATTTCAAAGGAGAGAGAGAGGGAGAGGGAGAGAAGGAGAGAGAGAGAGAGAGAGATCTACTAACTAAAGTTGTGGTATTAGTTATTATATTTTTGAACAGGTGATACAGTACCTGAAGCAGGATTAATAGGTATGTGCAAAACTTAATCTTCTGAGAATTGAATGTTACAGAGAACTGATCTGACCATTTGGGGAAATCTGAATTTCCAGGATTTTTGAGAAACAAAGCATTCGTGCCGTTTCAGACTGTGAGTTGCTTCTGCTTTGGAGGATTAAATCCAGAAAAACAACAGATAGTTCTTGACTTCTGACCGGTTGCTTAGCAACCATTTGGAGTTACGAAGGACACCTCCAGAAGTTACTTACAATCAGGTTCTGAAGTTCCAACAGTTGCATATCCCACTGTTGGTCATAGGACTATTTTTGGGGAGCTTGGCAAGTAGCTCAACTTTACAGGTGGTTGAAGCATTCCATGGTCATGTTGCTGTAATTTATTATGCTTTTTTACTGGATTCTGGCCTTTTCAGCTGATTTCTGGCCCAAAAAAGGTCCATGGGAATACATGGATTTGCTTAATGACCATGGCAAAAAAAAAAGAGTCATAACTTTGGATCTGGTCATGTGGGGGCTATAACTTACGACCTTCATAACTTAATTGACAGAAATCTGGGTCGCGTTATGGTTATGAATCAAGGGCTACCTGTACAAGAAATCCTTCAGAACATTGTCATCAGCATAGGATGGTCGATCCCTGCACATCCCTTTTCCTGCTAGAAAATAAATTAAATGGTGATTTGAATTAAGAATGTAGACAGGTATTTAATCCTGATGGTTATGTATGCAGTAGCACGGTTTTTGACACTTCTGACAGATGTTTCCAGCCATACCTCAGAATGCCCTTAATTACATTTCTGTTCTAGTTTAAATATAACCAAACAGCTGAAGATGGCTGATCCATGTGTGTGTGTGTGTGTGTATGCCTTTTTATAAAAGGAAGAGTTTGAGATTTTTTAAAAGAATTTGTTGGCTTGTAGCAATAAGAATCCTATTCAATTCAGAATAGGGTTGGAAGGGACCTTGGGAGGTCTTTTAGTCCAGTGGTCACCAACTGGTGGTCCGTGAACCACTGGTGGTCCGCAAAAAATTTTTTGGTGGTCTGCAGAAAAATTATTTGCATTTTTTATATTGCACTAAATCAGGGGTCCTCAGACTACAGCCCCTGGGCCGGATACGTGCAGTGAACGCTTGTGTTGCTGTAGAGATTCTCACCCTTCGGGGTCTTTCTGTGTTTGTCAGAGGGGGCAGAAATTCCGACTTGGGGTCTGCTTCAGCCTCCTGGTGCGGGACTTTGGGTGAAAGCTGGAAGGAAGTGCTACTGATGGCGAAGAGTCAGAGGGCCTTGTTCCAGTGGGACTGCCTCACGGCCTGGAACTGGCTGACCATCTCAGCCCCCTGAGCCTCCAGGCACCGGTATCTGGCCTTGCACTCCTGCAAGTCTTCCCTCTGCTTGGAAAGCCTATGTTTGTAGTCCTCAGTGAGGTGCTTCTGCTGAGCCTCCTTCTTGGTCAGATCCAATTTGAACTGAGCCAGCTGTTTTGCCAACTCTTTCTCATGGTGGCTGCTTAGCTCCAACAACTGCTGCCTATTGGGGTCCTAAGGAGCCTGGGCGGGCAGGCAAGGAGTGGTTGGGAGGGGAGGGGCAAGTAGAGGCTGTTGAGGCGCCCCTCGACATGAGTGACATTGAGTTGGCCATGCCCACTCAGTCACATGACCACCTAGCCACACCCACCCAGCTGGTCATTAGACAGATCATATTAGTGGTCCGCGGGATTTAAAATTATGAATTTAGTGGTCCCTGAGGTCCGAAAGGTTGGTGATCCCTGTTCTAGTCCAACCCCCTGCTCAAATTGCCAACGATCACAGCTTATTTTACCAATAGCAAAGGGAAGGCTGGTTCAGTCACAACAATTAATTGTACCGTGACACACTAGCCACAATGCTGCTGTTCTTCGGGAGGACTCAAGGGAGCAGTGTGTTCTGTCCCCGTACCACGCACACACCCAACCAGCCAGCCGAGGGTTAAATAAACTCTTCAAACACTCAACGTCAGTGATAAGGAACTTGGCAGCAACTCCGTGGCTGCCTGCCAACAACTTTTACTCCGATAACACAGACAAAAATACACACAGTTTAAATAGTCCAGTTTGTAATTAAATCCACAGCAAATAGGCGTTGTGTCCAAAGGTGCAAAGTGACTCGCCAGAGATTAGCTTTGTCCGTCACAGAGTCCAAATGGCCACCACACTCCCTTTTATAGCCTGTGGGGTGTGGTCCAGTGACTCAGCTTAATCTCTGGCACGCCTCCTTTTCTGCTGCGCCCACTTGTCTCTCCGACGCTGGCGGGGTCCAACCACAATGTTTCTTTGTCACTTTCCGACGGCTCGAAACACCTGGCTCCTGGCCAGTCTCTTCTCCTTTGGGAGACACCTGAGGCATTGCCAGAGAGGAGGGTCCTGGAGAGGGAGGCCTGGCCGCCTCCTCTCCTTCATGTTCGGAGCCGCCTTCCTCCGATAAGATAGGCTGGGAGGACGGAGCCACAACACAGCGTCTGTTGCTGTGTAACTTCAAAATTTGGGGTGGAGTGGGGTGGAAACGGCTTTCTAAATTGCTTGCATCAAGTAACAAAACTAGAGTTTAATATTTCCTAATTGATACTTTGGGTCAGTCTGCCATGCTCAGTCTTCAGATTTATTTCTTAAAGTAACTGCTTGACATTGCGAAATAGATTTCTTGCATGGTTTACTGTAAATGAGTAATTCCTCGTTTTACAAATGCACTGCAGATTTATTTATCCTGCTTTCCCTTAATAGCGTACCTCGCTGAGTATTTCAGGCCCTTCGGTTACTGCAAAAAGAAGCCTTGCAATCATTAAATCATGACAGGATTTGGATTGTATTGACCACTATTCCATTAAACTGAAAACTAGATCTTTATGTATGTTAACTATGGAGCACATTTCAAGCAATGATCGTTTCTAATAAAGTGAGGGAATTGTTGACAAGGCATTACGGATGTCTGGAGGTGTTTTTTTTTTTTTTAAGTATTCTTACTAAATGAGGCTGAATCTATACAATAAAGTTTAATAGCAGTTCCCCTACTCCCTTCCCAGTAACCGTCATGGCTTTCTCAAAGATTAAAAGCTTGCAAATGCTGCTGAATTTTTCCTATTCTCCCTATAAATTGCCCAA